TAGTATCAATTACAGTCATAGAGGGTAGGTGAAAAAATTATTTCATCCCTTCTATTTATTTTCTTCGTCGAGAGGATGGACTTGCATAAAAAAATTGGGATAAATTGCTCAGCAATGAAATTAGTAGCCCGATGAACTATTCTCGATAGCACGAATTACAGTCACAGAAGGTAGGACAAGAAATTATTTCATCCCTTCTATTTATTTTCTTCGTCGAGAGGATGGACTTGTATTAAAAAACAATTGGGACAATTTGCTCAGCAACGAAATTAGTAGCCTGCGGAATTATTCTCGGTACCATGAAATACAGTTCAGTTTATTTAATTAAAGAATCCGATTGACAGTGAGAAATGTCTCGGACAAAAATATCCGATACTCTTAAAGGTAACACGTTTTAACATTATACTCAGTCTTAGCATCGCGATAACCTTCAACGCATAAGGTTACACAAACTCCGTGGAAAAGCTCGTAAATACCAAGGAGAAGTCGTGATATATATTTACGAAGTCACAGAGACGTCCACGGTTGCATTCTCCCCAATTTACCATCCCTTGTACCAACCACCGTAGCCTGGCCAACCGCGGTACCCGCCGTATCCGCCGTATCCGTGGCCACCATAATACAGGGGCCAACTGGGGTACCAGCCGTACCATCCGTGGCCACCGCCATACCTAAAAATCAAACTTGTGAATACCTCGAAAAATGAAAAAGTGAATTGACAAAGTCTGGAGGAAGGAATTGGTAGCAGACGACAACTGGATTAATGATTAGAAAATGTGGAAAGAAACTACTAGGAAATTTTTAACAAGAAAGAGGAAATTATCAAGGATACCTAATTGTTTATAAATTTACAATACCTGAACAGAGAGCTGTATTTTAGTGAAACTGGATTTCAATTTTATTGTTGTTTGAATGAATCGTGGATTAATTGATTATTTAAATTCGAGGGATTTAAATTACAATATTTTTCGATTTAGATCGAATCGTATGATTTCAGTCACACAAAATGTATCACGTAATTACTAGACGAAGATACTGCGGATCTTTATGGAAAATAAAATCTTCGCGAACGTGCCTACAAAAATTGAACCTAAATAGGAATTTATTTTATTCTGCACATATTATAACATGAACTTTACTTTCAATATTTTTTATATTCTTGCATATTGCTTGCATTTTGTAGGTTCTTGCACATTCAACTTTCCTCTAAATGCATAAAAATCCGCAGTCTAATAATTACACAATAAATTACTAGAATTTCAAATCAATTTCATAATTAAAAATCACTGGAATTCAAACGAATTACATTCGCAATGGATTACAAACGAATCACAAAATTGAATCACTACCTAATTGAAATACAATGTAACCGTATTGCTTGATTGAATTAGTGCTAATCATTCAAACTACTCATTCGTTAATCCCTATAAACACATTAAATCCTGTTGAGTCTAGTAAGCCCTGTATGTATCGATCCTGTTGCTCAAATTTCACGAGAGGAAACCGGAAAAGCTTCTTCAGCAACGTTCACTACCAAAGGGTTCCTCGCCCTACGTACCAAGGCCATCCGAAGCTGTATCCTCCGTAGCTCCACGGACTCCATCCGTAGCTTCTCTTCGCTACTTTTTTATCGCCCTCCCCGTCTTGGGGATTAACCTTCACCTGATTCTCAGGCTCTGCTTGTTGCTGCGGCACGTCGTTGGCGCTCGTCACTTTTTCAGGGACGGTGACGCTCACGCCGGCAGCGAAACCGATCAACAACAGCAGCAGCTAAAAAATTCATGATCTGACGTCACCAAAATCACTCTCCTATCGAGAATAGAAAATCAACGACGGTGTTTGTTTCGAGTTCACTTGTCGAGGACTGAGTCGAATACCACGGGAACTCCGTCGCGCTTCGATAACGTCTTACCAGAAGATTCATGGTTAAACCTGGCTCACAGTCGCACTGTGTGGTCCACAGGGGTGGACAGTTCTTTTATACCCCGTGGCTGGTGGTGTTACGCACCGCACCGGTATTTTCTAATATCCCGACTGACGAGTCCGTGATACAGTTGCCATTTACGGGATCATCGGGCTACGTAACAACTTGTACCAATAATGTATTCATCTGGCGCGAGCTGGCAAAAACAGCATAGGCGGAGTTCCGTAGGATTCCAGCAACTATCCTTAATTGAAAAGTCGATCGCGTAACCCGGAATCCTGTGTCATTGTTACGGGGCTAATTTTCACCGGTTTCGATCGGGTATTGAGCTCTGGTAAACTCGTTATTCTATTTATTCATTATGTTGTTTTTGTTATGAAGAGGATCATATTAATGGACACCTCACCAATGTCCTCGAGAGACTTTGAAATTCTTCAAAAGCTTGGTTCATTCTTCAATTAAAAGGCTTGAGTTTCAATAATTTCGCACAAAGAAGCTGGTCCAGTTATTATTTTTATATTTAATAATTTTGTTGCAATCTATAAAAGTTAGTTGAGTTCGTTGAATCGATTTAGTTATTTATTATGTGGTTTCTAATAGAGGAGCATATTATTAAATCATTATTCATTTAGCTATTCCATTAATTTCTTCTTTTGTTTTTTGTTATGAAGAGGACGATATTAGAAGAGACCTCTCCAGTGCTCTTGAAAGTCTTGTAAAGCCTCCAAGTTCTTCAACGCCTCGAAAGACTTGAAGAATCAAATACTTGACTTCTAATAATTTCACTCAAGCAATTCAAATTAATTCAATAACCCCAAAATCGCAATCTTGACCATTAAAAATCCAGAAATTATTCAAGACCTCTTGAGTATCCAAAAAATGATGTAAATCCTCGAAATTCTTCAACGTCTTGAAAGACTTAAAGAATGGAATACTTGACTCCTAATAATTTCACTCGAGCAATATTCAAATTAATTCCTTCCAATCCTGAGAGACAATACTACTCGTCGAATGAATTCAATAATTCCAAAATAGCAATCTTCGTTAGCAATCTTTCATTAAAAATCCAGATCGATACCATCGCCGATCAAACCCACTTCTAACCAAAAGTTACCAGGCCGACGAAAATCGCCACGCAAAAGGTTCACAGTGATTTCTGAAATAATCCGAGCGCCGCTTCCAAGCAATCGTTGCGCCATATTTATGCCCCTCCTTTCCCATTGTTCTCGAGGGGGGTAATGAAGGAAATAATCCTGAGAACGTTCCCAAAAGCGGCACGCAATTTGCAGCGTTTCACGCGTCGTGTAATCGCGGCACTAAAGTAATTAAGCGATTACTGGCATGCCAGCCGATCGAAGCGGGACTCGAACCGAGCTGTACGAATGCCATTCGCGGATCGACAATAACGAGCAGGAAGCTCGACGGTTGCGTAAAGGGTGTCCTTTTCCCGAATCGTTCTTCGGCTGTAAACTCGAGTCGTTAATTTTTTCTTTTTCTTTTTTTTTCTATCCTTTGGCGAGTCGCGATTGTCCTATTATGGTGTTTTTGTCACACCAGTCCAGGAAATCGATGTGACACCGTTTGTTCGAACTTTCTCTGGGTGGAGAACAGGTGACATAATCGACATACTTATTGGAAAGTCCCGGCGAGCAAATGCCTAAACGCGACGATACTTATTGTACGTAATCAGGGTGTATTCTGGCCGATTTTAATTGCGAGGTCGTTTGACACTCTTGAACTCGATTATGGTTGATGGGCGATGGTAGATAGTTGTTTTCATTATATTTTCATTCGTGACTAACAACTTCCTTGGTAAGTGTATTTTTTAATTGATAATGAAGTTTCGTGATTTTATTTCACGACACAATTTATGTTTATATAAATTATATGATTATATATGAAATATGTATTATATAATTGTATAATTTATATAAATGTGAATTGTGCTGTAGAATGAAACTATGAAATTTTATTATGAATTAAAGAATACACTTGTATAATTCTATATGAAATTATACATGATATATATATGTGTATATATATATTGTATTATTATATAATCTACATTCATATTTCATAATAAAATTCATAATTAAATTAATCTTTTCTGTACATTCTTCTTTATATTGGAACGTTGTAATTGTATTCCACAAGAGTCGATAGTTAAAGAAAGCAGAACGAGTTATAAATAATTATAGAAATGCGTGTGGTCATCTGAGACCCCAAGAGCGATCCTACGGTTAATTGGTTGACATATTACTTGGACTTTTAATTGAAATCCCGGTTACGCATCGATTGCTCCTCTTTCTTAATGACGAGTTGGTCTAAACTGCCATCTAGGAAAAAACAATTTTGCACGTGTACATGGTTATTTTTCCTAGCTCTCTCGTATCGGTCGATTACATTCTTCCTTACGAACAAGACACATCTAATTGGCTCGTTTCCTGGATTGCACCACGATTGCAGAACCCCTCGGTAATAAAGTCTTTCGAGTAAAAAGTGGAACCGATCCTTGTCCACCTGATCTTCAAAATAAAATATTTCCCATCGAGACAGACAAATTCTCACGAGACACCTTTCACTAGTTTCCGTGAAATTTTGCAAAAACTAGCGCTGAGATTCTTTTATATCGGCTCCATTCGTTCCTAGGTACGAATTACAATTGGTCGAATGCCTGCACGCATCAACGAGCATCCTTTCGCTCGATAAAAGACGCAGTGAAATCATACGTTAACGAGTATCGTCTAACTAACGATTCATCATCGATAAAAATGGACGAAGTAGTAATTTAATGGTTCGCGGCGTGCTTTTCCCAATTCAGCGCGTCGAACGCTGCTCGGAATTTAAGGTTTCCTGTCGGATATCGGTGGTCAGTTATGGAAGCACTAAGTGTCGTAAAAAGTTGTGACTGGATATTATATAGTGGGCATTTCATGAAACGTAAACGTTACTTCACAGATGTATTCGAGTGTACAAAATATAGATTGCAATTTAAAACATTACACGTTCATGATCTACATATATCAACATCAATCTGTTTACCTGATTTATTTACCTGTCCATTTAATACCTGAAAACCCCTTTAGATTAGGACACCCTAATAAATAAGTTTCTTTTTTTCTATTTTCTTCTCAATTCAATAAAACACATATTCTCCGTCAAATTTATAAAGCAGCACTCATAAAAATCAATATAAAAACAAAATATAAAAATCAAAAAATTCCAAATAAATCATCAAAACCAATCTATTTACCATATGTATTTATCTACCCACCTAATACCAAAAAATTGTCTTTGTAGACTAGATTCCCTTAAATCTCTTGACAAACTTCTTTCACATTTCTAAATTTCCCAGTAAAACATCTCCCTACCAAATTTTTAGAACAGCACACATAAAAACCAATGAACATCAAAATATAAAAATCAAAAATCTCAAAATATGCCCTAATCACCTATCTATTCTTACCCAACAGATTCTCCCGGCCAAATTTTTAGAACAACATACATAAAAATCAGTAAACATCAAAATATAAAAATCCAAAAATTCCAAATGTACCCTAATCTATTCCTTCCCATAATATTCTCCCTGCACAATTTTACAAAACAAACAGAAACCAATGAACACCAAAATATAAAAATCCAAAAATTCCAAATACACCAAAACCACTTATTCCTTCCCAACAGATTCTCCCTGCCAAATTATTAGAACAACGCGTACAAAAAACCAATCGACACCAAAATATAAACTTCCAAAAATATAAAATATTCCCTTAACCCCTCCTATCCTAATCATTTATTCCTTCCCAACAGATTTTCAACCACCCTGTACGACAAATACCAAAAGTGCCTCAAGAAGCGCGATCGTTGACGGGTCCTAGTTCGTTATAACTTATAACTTATAAGACCGAGCAGTCGTCTCGCCTAATTACGTCTCCGCAGCCGCGTTTCCAACGAAACCGGGACGTGGGGCCATTGTGTGTGCCCCGCGAAACGGTCCCCCATTCCAAATCGTGCGGTTTCGTTCCCGCGCTGCGTCACCGTGCCGCTTCAGTTGTCGCAAATGAACGGCCGGGTCTGTGCAATTGCGGTGAAACTCGGCATTTCTTTCCGATGTTATGTAAAAATTCATCCCCGCCATCGCTGGTTTTGTCCGACGGCGTTCGAGACGGGACACTCGACGAACAGTGGCCGCGGAACGCCGCGGTACAAAACAGCCGTGCGTCTGGACACCGCGAAAGTTCGCCGCGCGATGGAGGGACATCCCGAACGGTTATCGATCCTCGGTGCTTGATCATTAAACGCAGAATGTGTCCACGATAGTGCGCCAAGCATGAGAAAAGTGTAACTCGTTGTGCTCCCAAAGTGCTTGGATCCATCGACGATGAAACTTAGGACATTCCGCGTCCTGTGTTACCTGTGCGTGCTCTGCGCGCTGTGCGGGGCCTATGGAGAGCCTGACACGAAGAATCGCTCCTATTTGAACTCTTCCGAGTCCGATGAGCCTCAAGAGCCGAGGGATGTCTCAAATTCGACCAGCCCGAGGGATAAACGGGCGCTAGGTTTGATACTCTCAGGTTTGGCCCAGGTGTTCGGGTACAACGTGAGCTCCGTCCAGTTGGCAACCTTGCCTAACCCTGAAGCCGACGAAGAGGCGAGACAATCCCCTAACCCTGTGCCTCCTTCGTCTACGACTTCGATATCTCAACAACCGACGACTCCATCCTCCAACCAACCAACTCGGCCAACTTCCACGACTGCCTCGACTCCAGCCACTCCTAAGCAAAGGGAGACCATCAGATTCACAGGAGTCCTCAACTTCGGCAACAGCACGAGCCTCCTCAACCGCCTGCAGGAGTACGAGAACATCTTCCACGGGGGTAGCAGCGTTTCGACCCCTACGATGAACGCGACAACGCCGTCGTCGACGCCTGCTCCTTCAAGAAACGTCCCTGCGCAACCATTGCCTCCCCTCCTGGTGAACATACCCCTGCCCACGATATCGCAGGCGCCTCTGCCGACGATACCCCAGTCGCCTCTGCCTGAGATTCCGCCGCAGGACATCAAACTGTCCTACCCTGAACCCATCGTCATCGTTCGCCAGGAGGTCACCAGGAACCAGACCACGGAGAAGCCCATGGTGCAAATGAAGAATAATGCGACCGCTACGTCCCCGCCCCTACCGGCTGTCTACGTTCCCACGGACTCTATTCGTCTGCACGACCCACACTGGAGGAACGAGTACGAGTACAGACTCGCTGAACTAGAGCGCAAACAGGAGGAGCAAGCCGAAAGGCTGAGGCAGCAGGAGAGGTACAGAAATCTCATGAAGGACAACAAGGAAGAAGATCCCAGATGCAAGAATAAAGAGAAACCTAATCAGAACGCTGAGTATTCAGCAGAGGACTCCAGAGAAGACTCCAGGGAAAGTTACGAGAGTCCAGAGAAGACTCGGGAGTATTCTAGACCACCGACTAAAGACTCGCGGGAGAGCGAGGAATACAGCAACGACGACAACAAGCCCTACAAGCAGGAGGAAGATTTACCTATTGATAGCTACTCCAACGTGGGAAACAACGAGCCGCTGCCGATCAGCGTCGACGACGAGCAACGACGACCCGAGGAGCTGCGCAACAGCTACGGGCAACTGTTGAACAGTCACGAGCTGCCCAATGGATTCGCCAGCTACTTCGGGAAGCTCAAGCAGTCGATAAGCGATTTCTACAGCGCCCCGGAACCTCCTGCTTCCGACGAAGCCTCGAAAGAGCGAGAGGACTCCTCGGAGCGTTACAAAGAAGACGAAAACGAAAGCAGCGAGACACCGAGGGAAGAGAACGATCCTCCCACGACCAAGTACGAAGAATACAGTTTAGAGGAAGAGACCGACGCGACGAGCAAGGAGAATTCTAAGGAAGACAGTTCTGAAGGGAAGTACTCCAATAGGATTCCACCTGAGAGCGAGGACCTCGAACGAAAGTCAGAGGAGCAAGTGGATTACAGCAAGTACATGCCCCTGGTGGTGCCTGTTAGGTACCTCGCTGCCCCTGAAGAGTCGAAAAGGGCGAGATCGAGAACCTCGGGGGCGGAGAAGTCGAGGAAGGTCGACAACGTGCCCGCCAGAGAGGCCAGCAAGAGGATCGTGGTGAAAGAAGCGAGGAGGCCTAAGAAGGAGAACCTAAAACCCAAGATAGGCATCCCTGAACGACGATTGCCGAAGAAGCTCCACGAGGGCGAGCAGAAGGAGCTGCAGGTATGGCCAGCGCCGTTCGACTTCGTTCTTGATAGCACCATTCAAACTGAAGTCACTGCTAAGTCTAATCGAGGGAATGTGAAACATAATAGGAAGCTTAATAAGGGGAATGAGAAAACTGAAAAGACCAACAACGACCGTCCCGAAGACGCCGACTATCGAAGGTCTAAGGATGGCTCTTTATCCGGAACGGTTCCTTCGAGGCAAAGGACGCCTAGGATGCAGACGAATCTGAATCAAGGGAATTCGAGTCGCAAACGCTCCCAAACCGAGGATGTTAAGCTACTTTCTCGAGGAAAAGAGGCACCGAATCTTTTGGAGCGTTACAAATACAACTCGAATGGTTATTATAGGAAACGACCGGTGCAATCTATTCAACAACTGCCTGGTTCAACGTTCTCCAAGAGGATTGAATCCCTGAAGCGCAGCACGGACACTGCTGGACCCAGTGGATACTCCTATAGGCAAACGCAGCCTGCGAGGGAGCTGGATGATAAAAGTCAGGTTGATCTGCGACTTGCCAAGCAGAGAGTGTCCACGATGACCTTCGATAGTCCTCTGAGTGACCGCAATGAACATTACTATATCCAGAAGCAGCCTGAAAGCGAGGTGGATAATCAAAATCAGGATGCACGAGATTTTCAACTAACTAAACAGGAAGTATCAACGATGACCTTTAAAGGTCCTCTGGATGACCAGAGTGGGTATTACTATAGCCAGAAGCAACCTGCAAGCGAGGTGGATAATAAAAATCAGGATACACGAGATTTTCAACTAACCAAACAGAGTGTGCCTACGATGATCTTCCATGGTCCTACGGGAGACCACGATTTGTTCAGTTTCAGGAACGATTATGGTCTCGCTGGTGAAGGGAAAAGTCTGAAATCAAGTGGAATGTTAGAGGAGAAGAAAAAGATCGAGAACGAGGCAATGGCTTCTTTATCCTTACCGCAGTACAAGGCCTATAGCTATGGCGAAACTTTGACGAAATTTGCCAATGAACCGGAAAGCAGAAGCGAGAAAGTCGGTTATTACGCGAACAGTGAGCCTGTTATGCGAATCTCGGGACAAAAACGGATTGATTCGATCGGACCGATCGATTTCATCGATCTCGCCCACGTTTTGTAACGTTTGGATGTTTCTGAATTGTTTATGGTGGACGAACGATCGTAATTTGTAAGTGAAAATAGTTAGTTTTATTGAAAATATGACGGACGAGTCGTCCAAGGACATTTCAAAGTCGATGGAATTTTTCTAAACGGATTTCAAGATTCTATTATTATAATAAAAAGTCTAGCATGTGATAGACAGAAGGTAGATAGAATTTAATTATTCTTTGTTTGATATATTCAATGATACATGTTAGAAACAATAAATAAAAAACGTGGAAACTTTGAAGTGACCTTGTCGAGCTTCTTGACTCAGAATTATAATTATTATAATATTTATTCAAATAGAATGTAGATAGAACTTAATTATTCTTTGATATAAATTTTCAATGATACACATTAGAAACAATAAATTTAAAAAATCTCAACTTTGAAGTGATTTTGTCGACCTCCCTGGCTCAGAATTATAATTATTATAATATTTATAATACATTTAACGTAATACAGGCATAAAAACTGGCCACACTCTATTAAAGTTTATTTATCACTACATATATATATATTAATTTCATCAGTATTTTACGACGATGAAATATTAAACTTGTTCTACAATTTTTCGAATCAGAAAAGAATCAATATTTCATTATGCAACCATTCAGACAATGTTACCAAATCAGTAACATACATCCCATTTTATCGAATACATAATTATTATGATATTATACAGTTCATTACGAGTCTGAAATAGATTAATAATGTAAAAATTGAAATATTTCATATATTTTATATATTCATATATATTATATAATACATATTTCAGTTAGGGTATATCGTACAGTGAACCTAAATCGAAGATCATTATTATGCATATTACACGATCTTTTACGAGTGTGAAACAGATTAGTAACTGACGTAAAAGACAAAATAAAATTTCCTTAGGGGAGTATCGTGCAATGAAAGCAAATCACATCAACGTAAATGACAATAATACTTTCCTAAAATTATAATAATCTCTGTACGTTAACGATGATCTGCAGTAATTCCACTAATGCGATGCAATATTGCAAATATGTTACAGAATAAGCAAGAAGAAATGCAAAGACATACCGAACTGGAGATCAAGATGGCCGAAATTCTGGACAATTTGAAGACTCGCTTGCTCGTCGAATAAATCGCTGTCATACGTGTAATATACGTGTATACGTGAGATATACATGCATACCACAACACCAAACTGATCAGTTACGAAGATCTATAAACAACGCAAGCATACTTTCATTTGCTGCATGATTAATACTTTGTCATTACTTATTTAACACTAAATTTATGAGAGACATTTCACTTACCTTGCACACGAAGCCTTTCCCGCTAAGGAAGTACACGAGAGTGCAATAATTTCGATTATCGAAATATAAACCGCTCCACTTACGTATCGATAATTCTCGATATGGATAAATTTCAAATCGCACTAGAGTGCGCCACTTTCCAGTAACTATCGGTAGCTGTCAGTAGCTGTTTTCAAGTGAATGTTGACAAATGAAATGACGTAAAGTCCGTGTGCTCGCGTGTCGTTATTTTAATAAATAAATGTACAATGTAATAATTCGATAATACAGATTGTATTTTTTGTAAGATTTAATTCTAAGTTGCATTCTTAACACAATGGAGGAGTTTCTACAAAACATAGGAGTGGGATTGCGTCCCATAAACGATCCATTTTTCGAGGATTCGTATAATTCTTGCAAGATATTTCAAAGGAAAGGCATCACTGTGGAAGACGACGAAGAGTTGTGTCACGAAGTGTAAATAAAAATCTTTCGTTATATCTAAATGTTCGATTATACTACATAACCTAAAAGCGATACAGTCATAATATTCTCATGAAAGGAAACAAACCGATATGCTAATAACGATCCACTGTTATTAATTTCAGTATAAGAGAATTTCCTTGTTATGCCAGTGGTTGTAAAGCTACATTTCAAACGCTACTTGATTTTGAGATGCACTACAATACTAATCATCGTTACGTTTGTATAGAGTGCAAGAAGTCCTTGCCAAATCCTAGACTGTTAGATATTCATATTCAAGAAACTCATGACAGTTTCTTTCAAGTTTTATCATTAAAGCAACCAATGGTACTTATAAATTCTGTGTTGCTATATTTTATGTATACTAAAATGGTTATTAATATTCATATCTTGTTTCTAGTATCAGTGCTACGTTTCTGAATGTGATTTAAAGTTTATTAATCCTGTTGAAAGAAGAAAGCATTGCACGAGTGTACATAAGTTTCCTAAAAATTTTCGATTCGACAATGCTTCACGTTATGCAAAGAAAGAGCCAAAAGACAAAATGGATATAGATGAGTCGGAACATGAAAAGAAGGAGCAAAAAAATAAAATGGTTCGGTTAAGTAAAAATCAGAAAAGTAAAATGTTCATACCTGGAATGAAAAGTGCAGCAATGTCTAATTTAAATGAGAATCAACAGAGTTCGAATCCTATCTCTGGAACGTCATCCCTAACTTTTATTCCTCTACAAATAAAAAACTCGTACACGAATGCGCTCACTAAGAATCAAAGTAATGAAAAAAATGTTCTCGAAACAGAAACTATGATGGATTTGGCTGAATCGCTACCTACGTGATAATATCTGTTAAATTAGCGATGAATTTCATACAAAAACGACAAAAATTTTGTTTTATAAATGACACTCTTTTACTATAAATATATTTTAAATATCGCAACAATATCTATATGTACAATGCGGCTTACAAAACTAGACGTCTTATATCGTTTCTACCCATTCTCACCTATTTACATGATTCCCCCTGCCCGTTTTATTTAATATATAAATTCGGTTGTTTCACTATAATCGTATAAAAATACTTAAAGTTCCATATTTTTGGTAAAGCTAATATCAGATAGCCTATTCGGCGCAATCTTCGTTACGTTATAAATGACTTGGTAATCTCAACAACTTTGTCAATTACTGTAACAGTACTGCATGGCACAAAAATTCATACATCCTCGAACAATTTAGTTCCTAGATACTAATACTACATCATCAGAAACGCTTTTTATACAATACACAACGACGACATGAATCCGAGAATTTCACTTAATCCGTAAGAAATGTATCTTGAAAATAAAAAAAATAATTACAAGAAGAAAGAATCGCAGACGTTACTCGTAAGACGCAACAGAAATGTTTACAGATTCACGAATCTAACGGCAACTATTGCTTCCCTAATGCCTGATCGCCAATTAATTCTTCTCCTCGCGAACACTAGACTATTAACAACTTATAAACGAGTCCTGTACAAACTATCCCGACGCTAAGTCGAATAGACCATGCACCTAAGCTTAGCTGTTTCGTTCCTAAGCGCCACGAGTTCGTATTTCAATTTCATATTTTCTTGTTCTAGAAAAGCCGCCCTGATAGCGATCTCGTCCTCCTTCGCTCTTCGAGCGTCCCTGGAGCGTTTTGCAGCCTCGTTGTTTTTCCTCCTCCTTTCCCAGTACGCCGCGTCCTTCTCGTCGACGGTGCTGGTTGGTAGTCCGGGACTCTTTGAAGCCCGACGCATTTTGATATTCGTTCCCTCGTTCGATCGCCTCACCGATTCGAGCATTCGTTTGCGAAATTCCGAGTACGCCTCATTCGAATTCGGATCGTACACTATTTCAGCCGCTCCCATGGTGAGCGACAGTGGGTCCTTTGGGTAAGCTTTGAACGGTCTGGGCGTTTTCTTTCCAGGATCCGTGGACAGATTGGATAATGTTTCACTGCTAGGAGATGTCATCGTCGTGGATGTCGCGGATGTGTCCATCATTTGAACTGGATTCGCTGTGGCACCGTTTTGAGCGAATATCGGTAATATCGTTGGTACAACTGGAATTGGAATCGGCAGAGCAGAGTAACCACCGTGTTGACCGATTAAGGTATTGCTCGTCACGTTCGCGCAATTGTAGATCGGTTCGTACTTAATTTTCTTAGGCGAGTCGGACTCTGAGGGTGGCGTCACCATGAACGTTCGCCCCTCGAAAGGACTCTTCCGTTCCGAATCGGTGAAATGAGCAGGTTGTTGTTCTTGTTTCTCCGTGATGGCGGGTGAACGCGAACGCGAAACGTGCGAGATCGGTTCCTTGGTCGTCGGTGCGTTCTGCTTCTTGCAGGAAAGATCTAGAACCGGAGGATCGGCGAACCCTGTATTTGGTTGTCGCTTTGGACAGGATGTGAAGTCCAGCGCTTGCAGACTGGCCACCGACGACTCAGGATGGGCTTCCATTCTAAAACTTCCTGGACAACCTAGACAAAAAAGGGAGAAATTAAAAATGTAGCCAAATTTTATTTGTTTATACTGAAACACGATTTTGTAGATAGGTATTAACGAATGCAAATATTTAATTGAAATAGGAGATTATACGTGATATGTTATTGATAAGCTGTCCAAATGTCACTGTTCCGACGAACTTTCGATCTGTACTATTTACGAGATATTAATTATACACTGTTTCACAGATCCAATCGCGATAGCAATAGCTGCTAAACGGGAAACTCTTGCGTCAAAGTTATCGATAACGATCTTTCGAAATCGTAGAAATCGTAAAGCGAGTACAAAGAATGGTAACTGTATCGATAGATACACTTTCGTCGATAGATATTTACGCTAGTGAAATTGAAAGGAGACTGGAGCGCGAGTTTCTTCGATCTAGATTTAAAAAGATTGTTATTGCTTTTTTGTGAAGTAGTACCAGACAAATATCAATATCTGTATTATTCGATGTATCAGTGAATGATTTGTCAACGACTACACCGAACATTATGGACTTTACGAAATCTTATTTCTAGTTCTTTCGAATATTAATGTCCACTAATTACGTACGTCCGTCTTATTCGGGATTCGTGTAGAAACTGCGAATGTAAACAACGAATTCCTCTTACCCAATAATTAATCCAAGGTCAGGCACCAATCACTGAATATCACAACACTGTCGCCGCGGGTCGGTTCGATTCACCGTCACCGAATCGAGTTCACTCGAAACGTCCGTCTCTACTACGGTTTTTAGCTAAATAGTGCTCATACGGCGAATCGCCAAAATGGTTTAGAACGAGAGGGTGTATAGTTTCGCTTATATACTAGCCAACCCTTGCAAGACCCAGGGGTAGGAGGTATCCTTAGAAAATAGTGGGGAGAAGCCTGATGTCCTGATGTCCATAGCGCCGGGTCAAGCTGCCACGCTTACCGTTTCCAAAAATGTTCGTTACCACGTCACGTTCGCCTAATTATGTAGTCGTGTTCGCGGAATCGAGATACACGTGCATGTCAACAATTGATCAAGAGTGTTTTTATAAGAATGTCACCTCGCGAATACTTTTCCGGAATAGCAAAGCCATCGGAATATTTGAAACTAGGAATGATACGAAGAAAGAAACGAAGTCAAAGTCGCGAATTATAAATTGTTTGTGAATTCGTTTTTGTATAGGTAAAATAGAATTTATTCATTTTTTTTTACGGAGCACTTTGGACGACACGAAATGGAACAGTGAGTGTTAGAGTTCGATAGTAATATTCATTTTTCTTCTCTGATTTAAAATTGCACTGTAGAATTAACTATGCCATAGAAAACAATTTAGAAAAATATGTAAGTTCATAACTCACACGTGTAAGAGGATATAGAATTTGCCCTTATTTTGTACATATTTAAGGAGGGAGCTTGGTTCGGACGCTGAAAATGAGGGATTTTTCAACGAATTTAAAAAAATAATGTATTAAGCGGATTTTTATGTAACGTACAGGGTCTTTTATTGGATATTTGGCGATAAACAATTTTTTTTCGAAACAAAATTGTAGTTAAAAACCTTAAACAACAAAAAAACATTTTTTTTTTACACAACATAAACATTGTAATTACATTGTCGACGCACCTATAAATCGGGGAAAAGGTACAATATTGAAAAAAATAGTAGGAGTCGAAAAAAGAAAATGTGGTTTAAGCAAACAATTTTCCCATCATTTGTATGAAAAAATTGTTCAATTTAATTTTCTTTAGCAAAGTTTTAGGTACATCGTACACATACAGTCAGTCCCATAACTATTCGTACCGTTTATGTCTATTGAAGAAATTTGTCTAAATTAAATGATAAGCTTAATATTTCCAAATAAATGTTTCATTATGAACACGTACATAAATGAACTTTTCGCATGCATATACAGGGTGAGTCCGAAGAAACAGAACACCTAAATATATCCGTTACATTTCGTTATACAAAAAAGCTTCTTAGGACAAAGTTACGCTATTTGAAGGGCCACACGTAACGGTGTAAGGAAAAATTTTCAAGGTCTTTTTTTTATATAAAATTTCAAAGTCATCGATGTTTTTTTAAATAGAATGATATATTTTCATTAGCGTAATGTTGTAGCTGACAAAATAACGAATTCATCCATGTACTACAATATCAGCTACAAATGACCTTCAACCCAGAAAAATGGAATAAATAAAATTCAACGTGTAAGATTCATTTGCTTTATGATGGACAATTACGATTAGAAAATCGGTCTTTGTACAACCGCACTGCTTCTCTTAAACACTGTCGACTTTCTCCATAAATGAAAATCATATCAATTATATCTTCTTTTGGGTAACGCATCGTGAAACGTACATCGATAAACTGATAGATTGGAAATCTTAGGAAACATTAGAATTAGAAATCAGAGAGCAAGAACGTCTTCAGACTGATCAGCAGTTGTAAACACGAATGTGTTATCTATGTGTACAAACACATAGATAAAGGTATATAATAAATGTCTTCCTGTCAACACCGAATTATGTTGTGTATTGCGATACATTTGAATGTATAGCAGCTCAAGTTAATATTAAGTTGAATATTCAAAATATTTTGAACATTTTGCGTAACAGGAATAAAGCAAATGAATCTTACACGTTGAATTTTATTTATTCCATTTTTCTGGGTTGAAGGTCATTTGTAGGTCATATTGTAGTACATGGATGAATTCGTTATTTTGTCAGCTACAACATTACGTTAACGAAAATATATCATTCCATTTAAAAAAACATCGATGACCTTGAAATTTTATAAAAAAAAAGGCTTTGAAAATTTTTTCCCTTACACCGTTACATGTGGCCCATCAAATAGTGTAACTTGGTCCTAAGAAGTTTTTTTCTACAACGAAATGTAACGGAGATATTTAGGTGTTCTGTTTCTTCGGACTCACCGTGTATTTGTATGAATAAACATAGAGCGTACGAATACTTATGAGACTGATTATATTCTTGAGAGATAATGCGGAGTCTCTAATACGAGAGAATGACCCACTAAAGAGAGAATTTTTTGTTTCCAAGTAAGCGTTTCACTGATGAGACCCAGTGGTCGTATTGCTAAACAAACAATCAGCCGTCGGTGTTTGGAGAAGTCGAAATTACGTCCTGATTTATAGTCCTAAGACCTAGAATTAAGGTAGTCGTGAACTTGCCGTCATACCTGTCACCGGCAGCTCGGTTTCGCCAAAAGGAGAATCGATTGCCGCAGCTTCTCGACCCCCCCTGACAATCGTATCCCGTTAAATTAATCCATCCGACGTGGCTCGGGATTTTCAGAAAATCCAGTTACCGGCTGGCACACTAAATCCTTTCGGTTCCTCCTTTAAAATCGGCACAACGCAAGAACGGGCAGTGTTTCGGTTTTGGCAAACGGTCGACGAGTCTTCGTCGCTCGGTAGCCGGTATCCGCGACGCGGGGCGTCCTTTCGTGCAATCGTTAACCGTCCGAGCAGGAGTACGTCGGGGACGGCTGCATAACCCTTTCGCCAGGACCTTTCCTTCGACTATTTTCTGTAGCGTTTCGCCAAGGCCCCATTGTTTCTGGCCCGTGCCACATGATTTACGATCGCCGCCAATAGGCTGTACGGGGAATCGCGGAATTTGCGTAAAGTGCTCATAAATTAACCGGCGAAAGCGTTGCGGCCTGGTACGATTTGCGAAATCTTTGAATGTTCGTCAGCCCGGGCGACAAGGAGAGCCCTCGGACGAGCTCTCACCTCGAGGCTCGTTCTCTAAGAGAACTTCTCTTTCGTGGATCCTTCGTCAGTCCTCGCTCATTAGGGATGGACGACATATGGCCATTTTCTGTGGCGACGGAAGATGGGCTTGTTTTCTCTGGGCTTTGCTGACTAATGGTTCACTTTCGATTACCGCGTATGCGTGTTCTTGGGCTAATCGTTAGTTGGACGAAGTAGAATGTAGCTAGATCAGGGTTCTTCGAGCTGGAGGTCCGCGGGACCCTAACTGAGGATCTGTAAGATGTTGAAGAACATATTAAAAGGGTACTGCATCAGTACTAAAAGGAGTTTCAGAAATTTTCAGAAATTCTTTATGAAGACACGGAATTGTTTTCAAACTTTCATTATGTTTTATCGAATCCATAAACATAGGTGCGTTAATTGTTGTGTAAGATTAGAAAGAATGAACGAAAATTTAATCATTTTGACTTTAGGTATACGTAACATAATACTTTGTACACTTCATCGTTGTTTGGACGAAGTAGAATGTGCTAGGTCAGGGTTCCTCGAGCTGGAAGTCTGCAGACTCCTGAGGCTAAGAGTAGGTGAGGATTTTTGAGATGTTGGAGAACATACTAGAGGGGCACAACACTGTATTGGTATTGAAAGAAGGTATTTTTAAATATTCTTTACGAAGAACATACTAGAGGGGCATACCGCTGGATTTGCACTGAAAGAAGATGTTTTTAAATATTCTTTACGACGAGGTATGACGAATTGTTTTCAAACTTTCATTATGTTTCATTGGATTCATAAACATAGGTACGATAATTGTTCTGTAACATTCTGTAACAGAAAGAATGAATAAAAATGAAATAATTTTCTCTGAACTTCACATATACATACATTTTCCAAAACATTCTCCAATATGAAACCCTAATTTTCAGTTGTATACATCACACAAGTACTATTTACTAGCTTACTATAAAATTGTTATGTAATTATTACGAGATACGATGAAAACAATTTTCTGTTTTGGTGATTGAGTGGATGCATTCGAGCACTAAACAAAGGTGTTTTCAGAAAGCTGGCAGTCAGGTTGAGCATTATTTTTTTTGTCTCAATGTCGAATCACACGTAACAAAGTTTCAAAACGATTCATCATACAGTTTCACTATAACCAATTTCTAAACATTTCGTTTCAGGACTGTTACACCGTCGCGCCCTTCCGAAGCATTTCTCACCCCTTCCTATCATGGAATTCAAGAAAACACGAGTGTGAGAAAAACGTAGGAGAATCGACAAACGACGACGGGAAGACTGAAAGTACAGTTGTCCTCGATAGCTGGAGACGTCTCATTATGTCTTCGTCCCAAGATCACGCCAAATTTAGTCTTTCGCTTCGGGCCCCGTTAAAACGTGTCGCCCATAGAAAAGCACCCCGGCGCTCGATTCACCGAGCCGCCTCCTATTCCGTGTATACAAATTTTTGCTCTTTTGGCCACATAACCCACATTTCTATGGTGCAGGGACGACCGCAACCCGTTATTTGCGATTTTTCCCGTGGCCAACGACAGATGAATGCCTCCTCGCATTTGCATCTGCTCCCGGGGCCTCACAGAACGACGCACAAACCATGTAACGGTACAGCGATGCAAACTCTTTCGCTGGTGATTTGCCGTGGAAACGTCTCAATTCACGCATCGCTGAAATCGTTTAAATTGCCCCGTTGCGAGCAATCTGTTTCTCTGTAAAAATCTATGGAGCTAGCTAAAGATATTTTTGTACCATTTTACTTCGTCGTGCGTCTATTTAAAATACTCTGATACAGGAGAAAATCTACGAGGATGCTATCAATAGAAGCATGATATTATAATAATTAGATTGCGGATCTTTATGGAAAATAAAATCTTTGCAAACGTACCTACTCAAATTCAACCTGAATGGAATTGTAGTTTGCTCTGCAAATATTATGATATACACTTTACTTTCAATATTTTTTTATATTACTGCACATTTCGATGTTTCTTGCACATTCAAGTTCCCCGTAAATGCATCAAAATC